TGAGCTCCATGCATTCCAGTTGCTCTCTCACATACAGAGCAACTCCACCACCTCGCCTTCCCAGCCTGTCCTTCCTAAAGAGCACATAGCCCTCCATGACAGCGCTCACTCAGACACATATGCTCGTAGTTATGGGATTTCCAGCAGTGCTTTCAATTCTGACATGTATATTTATAATACCACTTTTAGGGCAAAGAGTATTCTTTTTTCTTTTTTGTTTATTCAATGACCCATGTTCCATTACTAAACACTGAAAACTGGAATCCGCTATGAGGGGGGCAACTGAAATAAAATGGTGCTAGAAATCCAAAGGAAAAACGAGTGTGCCTGGCTCCTTGGCTTCGGAGTTCCTGCAAGATGGGCCTTTGCATCAAGCTACAGCAGCTCCCGTGGCCCGGGGGCGCTTCCAGGGTTCATGGGGAGAGTTCAGGGTCACAGGACCCCATGTTCCCAGCTACGCAGTGACGAGCAAAAGGAAAAACAAAGCAAAATACACAAGTACAGCACACAAGGACACCTGGCACAATGGGGAAACAGGAAGTTTGGTCACAGTAAAGAAAATCCTGATTTTAATGAATCTTTTTTTTTTTCCCCTCTGGGATCTGGGAGAATTAGGAAGCAAAACTGAAAGGTCTGGCAGTTTTACTGACTTCAGGATTGAATATGGAAATTCATATAGAAAAAAAAATCATATTCAAAACAAGAAACTTTTGACTAGACACTGAGCTTTGCCTGCCTACGAAGAGATCCGTTGTTTTCTAAGAGCAGACCATATAGCATTTAAGATCCAAGCGGTCATTTGGTCACACATGAAACCTTACTGAAAGGACATAAAACTTCACAGCTTAATTTTAATTTTCCTTTCAGCACAGTGAATTTAAAGTTAACTTAACCATTAAGTTGGTCGAGGGAAAAAATTCAGAAGGAAAAACAAATTTTGCTTGCAATACACAAAGAAACATCTAGGAAGAGCAGGGAACACAAACACATTGAGCTCCTGATTTGTGAAAGTATTTACAGATAGCGAACACCGCACAAGTCCTCCTTAGCATTAGCACCATCAAACCAAACTCTATTTGATCACATAAGAGCAAAACACAGTGCAGGGGAGGAGGAGGAAGGAGATGAGGGAAGGCTGCTGGCCATGCAGGGAACTCATCTGAACTCATTACTTCACAAATTGTGGTGGACTATTTTTAGAACATCATCAATAGTAACAGATAATAGTTTTTAAGTCAAAGTTCTGGTTCCTGATCATTTTCACATGTCCAAGAACATTTAAAGCCCCTATTTCAGCACTCCCAACTTAGCAGCCTTCAATGCCAGGGATTCACTCTGTATTTATTAATAATTTCTATTAATAATTTAATAATTTTTTTTCTTTTTCTTTTTTTTTCCCCTGGTCTTTCTGCACTACCACAATGTTATATGGTCACCTTTTCCAGAGCTACAGCTGGCCTGTCCTAACCACTTCCAAACATTCACAAAAACTTGCCCTGATCTATCCACCGCGTGCATAATTCTTCTGGGATCAGATTAACAGAAATCAAAACAATATTTTGTGGAGACAAATAGATATTAAACAATGCCAGCAGCAGATCTATTTGCTTCCTTTTTCACCACTTTTTCATACACTCTATCTGTATGTCACTGACAGGAGAACAGAAACGCACAAATCCGGTGCCGACGAAATGTTGGCACTTCTTCTCCTGGCACTGAGAGAGATTTGGGCTGGCACCAGTGAAACTGAGCCACTCTGCCAGGTTTTAAAAGGCAGCAGACACTAATGCTGCTATTGACACCATCATCCTCGAGGAGACAAAACACAGAACCCTTCTGAACTATAAAAATCTCCATCTATTCCACTGTGCACTCCTTGCTAGACCGTGGAGATCTTTGATTGCCAGCCCTCCCTTCTGGCTGCCACTGCGGAGCGCTCACCATGGCCAGGGCTCCTGGAAAAGCTGGGAAAACTAACCGCTACAGAACACAAAACAAGGAATAAACTGCTCTTTTTTTTCAGCTTGTTTTTGAGTGATCCAGATTCTGTGGCATGAAGTGTCTTTGCCAACTAACTCGAAGCCCTCTCTGCTTTGCTAAATCGCTCTCAAACCCTCACCTGATGCAATTATAAACGTCTAGCAACTACCTAAATTAGATCATTTTCAAGTAGGCACTCTACGGGGCATCTCTCTCTCCTTGGATGATGACTCTGAGGAAATAATTCCCAGGTAGATGATGCTTCTTGCACTGGCTGCTCCAGTCTAACTGCTAACTCATGACTCCGCAATGCACTGTAAACATTCAGACTGCTCTTGCTCTAGGTCTCATTTTCATTCCTTCTAAAGATTTTCAGGGTTTTAAACCAAAAAAAAAAAAAGTATAACCTTTTCAGTGCCTCTGCCTCCCACATTTCATTTTCTGTGATTGTCCCTCTATTTGTGTCCTGTGTGCCTGGGTAGTTGAAAGTCCTCAGTTTACCTGTGTGCAGCTGAATGACTCATGGCAGTATCTCTGCTCCACTAGCAAAGAAATCACAGGATGCTTTCAGAGAGTGGTGTGAGACCACTGTATCTTTGGAGAAAATGAGAAGATTTGGGTATTAACAAAGGAAGAATGCACAAGTCACCTAATTAAAAACCACAATATATTCCAGGTGAATTACGGCAACAAAAAAACTGGAGCACAGCCTCCCGTTGCACAGAATAGGGTTTGATGTGGTTTTGTGATCCCAACCCTGCCTCTCCAGCATCAGTCACAGGTTGGTGAGCTTACTTTCAACATCCACCAAGTGAAGAGCTTGTCTAGGTTCATACATACAACGCCCAAGGTTTCCTGAAAGGAGCGTGCAGCACCTCACCCCACACTCATAGTGGGTATAGATCATCCAAAGGTTTAAGATCCACCTAACCAGAGCGGTAGTGTGGTTTCTAACAAAAAAAAAGGACCATTTAAAACTCTTTATCCCAAGGAAATGTAGCAGGAAGTAAAAGACAAGCACGAAAGCTTTTTGGAATGAGGTTTTATTTATTCAGGACTGGCAGCACTTCTCCTCCTGCCCAAGCTTTCACTATGTTAACCACATCATCCCACAGAAATGGTTCTCCTAAACAGTAGTCTCTCAGGATCGAACCCTCCATGACACATGGCACAAACTGAGCCCCAAGGCCACTCCTCATGGCAAGGCAGCTGTGAACACCAGCACCCCTCACACCTTGAGCATGGGTGTACACAGAATCTGGAAAATGTGGCCCATTTCCTAGCACACAGGTAAACGAAGGACTTTCAACTCCCCCAGGCACACAGGACATGAATAGCAGGATAATCACAGAAAATGCAATGTGGGAGGCGGAGGCACTGAAAACAAACCAAACAAATCTGCTTTCCACATCCTGCCCAACGGGACCGAAATGTCCACTCATCATTTTGCTCCAAGAAGCCGTCAAGACCAATAACTTAAAGAAGCTGAAGAGGAGCACAGGCTCCGTTTTACAAATGTTATCCAGTGTCACAGTAAAAATTATGAGGATTATGTGGAAGATAATCAGAACAAACTCACACTTAAGCACTTGCGAGCAACTGAATTATCAAGTTATGAGTAAGTTCTCTTGAGGTAGCAAATCACTGGTTAACTTAACCTTTTCCTTGACACACACAGTGGGTCGGCGGTGCAGGAGTAGCTAAGGCAGTTGACCAACTTACACTTCCATTGGTCTCTGTCCATGCTCTCAAAGACTGCAATTCAGTATGAGAACTGGGGGCAGATAAAACTGCATTTCCATTTCTTCTTTATTTTAAGCAAAAACATAATATAGGGCAAGAGGTATGCAATTTACCATTTCCTATAATATCAGAGGTCTCCCCCCAAGTCTCCTCTCCCATGCCCTTGCTCAGTTAGGTCTTCCTCCTTCCCTTCCTGAAGTGGCACAGTTGCTTCCCAAGGCTTCTCTCCTGTCTCTGAGAAGGATGGGTGCAGCTAGATTCAAGCTAAGCACTGATTCTCACTTTGATCATCACAAGGATATAAACGGATCACAACTACCACGAGGACTATGTCCACCTTCACTCTTACTTCTTTTGTTGCTGCTTTTAGCCTTGCCAGGGCCATTCATGTTGCTGGCCTCGTTTTTCAGAGATCTACTCCAGTAATAAACTCTTTCTCCTCAACTGCACCCTTGGTAACCAGCTTGTAAACGACTCTGGTTCACTATGTGAAGAGTCTGGATAAAACACTGATTTCCTACCTTGATCAGCTCTTTGAACTTGGGGTCTTCTTTGGAGTTAGGGTCAATCATGGTGCGCTCCTCATTCTCCTCTGTCCAAGTAAAACGGGAGACTTGAATTAGATCCACCTCAAAGAGTGCTAAGAGTAATGCAACAATAATTATTCATGAAGTGGGCTGGCAGCTGATTAAGAAATGACGGTGCCCAGTCGTCATTTGAGCAAGGGAAAATCCAATGATCAAAGTAGTAGGCATTTTTTTCAGAGATGCACAGAAGGATCACACAGTCCTAACTTCCCTGAAATACAGTCGTCTCCACTGACCTTCCACAACTCAGACTCTCTGCAGACAGAACACACAAGGAAATCACCATCCTCAATGCCAAATGGTACACATTAATAGTATCACGCCAAAAACTGCAATCAATTAATTTTCCCTGCCTTCAATTTGTATTTAATCGGCTTTGAAACCACCCTTCCCAAATTGTACCATCTTGGAAGAGTCTAGCAAGTTTATGGCACTGTGCTCAGTGCAATAGCTGAGATTTGGGGTGATGCTCTGTGCTTCTCTTCTGCTGTTCTCTGAAACTCAATGTGACACAGGTAAGCTGCCAGAGGGCAGAGGCTGCTTAACCTGAGGCTAACTCAGAGTGAAAACGAGCCCAGTTTACACCATCTGTAAACCTGGACATGGGGGAAGGACACAGAGTAGATTTATCAGGGGTATCCTCCTCTATTTCTTCTATTGCTGAGGGATGGAAAGATGACAGAAACACTCTGCAACAGTCAAGGGATGATTTGATACAGAAATAGCAATAACGAACTTTAGCTCAGTCAGGCTAACAACTAAACAACCTTTGGCAAGTTTGTCTTTATCATAGCAGCGCACTTGGACACATGCATCAAATGCATATTTAAATTCTCCCAGATAGGACAATAATATTCAGGAAGCAGCTGGAGCAAGTCTGGTATTTTAAATTCTAGTGTTTGCTTTCAAGGAATAGGCCTCTCCCTGCACCCTTCAGCTTAGTTCCTTTGGCAGGCAAACGTTAGCTGGGGGCTAAGTTACAAGTGTGATAGCTGTGGTCACAGCTAGTTCCTTTACGTTGTGAGCACTCCAGCACAGCCTGGCTGCTACACAACAGGAGCACAAAAATAGGTGATGGGGTCAAAGCTGGGTGAACAGATCCACTTCTCCTCAGCTAAAACAGGCATGTGCAGAAACCAGGGATTTATCTTTAGCTGAGAGGCTAGACGGGCAAGAGGGAAATTGTGTTTATTTGAAGTCAGTGATCAGCCTCTCACAGAAACGAGATCCCACAGAAACGAGATCCCATACAAGCATTTGTTTGCCTGAGCTTTGTGTGGGAGAAATCTTCCATCCCTGATACGGCCAGTGTATCCCATGAAGCTCACTCAGGCGGCCCAGCCTATTTGTGTTTCTCTTGAGAACCCAGGAAATGAAGCCAGGCACATTTGTCCTCACAGCACCACCATGTTCAAATATCATTGCCAAGTCTGAACGAGCCGGTAGCCCTAATTCTGCTGAACTGAGGGCACCGGCTTCAATCTTGAAAGCCTCCTAACCACAGACTATGATGGGTCGCTGCAATGATGCAGATGCATTTGCACATGAGGCAAATGCACCATTTGTGGCTTTCAAGTCACATTAAGCATTTCATGCTGCTATTGCATTGCTGGATACTGACGGCCCTTCCAGCATGACAGCAACTGAGGGACTGTTGTGGCCACTGGTCGTGCCACACTCACCTGGCACAGAGGAACCCTTTAAAATCTGCACCAACTGACGACCCAACGACACGGCCTCGTTCTTACAGCGCGAGATGTCCCTGCTATGAGGTGGGAAATGGGAGATTCACAGAGCGCAGGTGCAAGACAGGCTAGACCCTCTAAGTGTCCATTTTACTATTTTGCAGGGTTCCTTATCTGTTTAAAGGGTAAGTCTCTACTGTCTAAACACACTTGATAATTTTCCACAAATCTTGGAAGAAACATGAATTATCCTTCTCCCCCTCTTATTTTTCTCCTTTCCTTTACTTCCTCATTGCTCCTTGGGATGAGTCAGGCAGTCTAACTCTAAGGAAGTGACACCAAACACACACCCAAAACCCCGCAAACGGAAACCCTGAGCAAGACTTGATACATACTGGGGAACGGGGTGGGGAGAAGTGAGTCAGAACAGGGCAGAAGTTTGAAAATTTATCTTCTTTCTGTGAAGTGTTGGCTGTCTTACAAATTTCTGTCTTCATAAACACAACAATAATTGTTGTTTCCCCAGCCTAAAAGCTCATCTGTTCACTCAGCATCTGATCCCCTTTTGCTGATCCCCTTTTCCCCCAATTTGCAAGATGGCAGCAATAACCCAAGCAGCAGGTGGGCTCCATGGGCTAACTGCACTGTAGGATGTGCAGCAAGAAGAGGCAGCTTAAGGGGGTCCAACAAGGCCTAGCAATCACATCACACATTTCTGCCACAGACCTGCAGTGGGCTGGTCCTTTTGCAGCTCAGTTCCCTATTTATATATGGAGAAGATACCACTTCCTTACCATAGAAGGACATCTGCGAGGATAAACACAGACTGAGATGCACTTGGACATTGGGGTAGTGGTAAGGAAATAAAATCTAAGCAGAAAAATGCAGCAGAATTTTCTATGCAATTTTCACAGAGCCCAACTTTTGACTTGCTTTCACGACAACCACAGAAGAACTCAAGTTCTCTGCACCTCGCTGAACAACTCCATTTTCCTATAACCTGCTTAATTTTAAGAGCACAGTTGTCATGCTGCTCTTTAAATTCCCTTGTAGCCCTTCTAAGTCCACATGCGCCCACACTCAACTCTCTCGGTCTAAGCTGAGCAACCTATATTCAACAGGAAAGCAATGGGTGCAGGACCAGAGGGAGCCCCTTGACTAACACCCTCTCAGCTTAGGCCCGCAGCACAAACACTGTACCTAGTAGTGTGTCTTCAGGATGAATGTCCACGGCGCTCGGGTTCATCGGAGCATTGATGGCATTTTTACCCTCTTCTTGAAGATCACTCACTAGAAAAGAAGAGCAGAAAGATGGCGATAAACGGAAAGTTTGCAAGATGTGTAAGGCAGAAGAAGGTATTCATTCTAAAAGAAAATATCTGGTAGGCACATTCGAAAATGGGCCCAGGGTTAATAGGATTAGGAACTGCAGTTGCAGTGGAAAACAGTATCAATACTTTAAAATCCTTTTATACCTTATTAAAACTACAGTCACCAGACTACTGCATGAGAACACTGGGCGAGAGACTCAGTTCTGTGGGAAGAGCAACCTCAGAGTGCTCGTTTCTCCAAAAGTCACAAAGCTCACAGCTTCTTGCAGGGTGCCCCAGATCCGGAGCAGACAACACGTTGTACAACCAAAATCCCTTTCTAACAGCTCCCCCACTGCTCATCACCATCTTTTCCAACCACGGAGCACTAGCAACTACTCTTTGCTACTGACTTTATTAAAAAGTCTCAAAGAACCCTACGGAGACTTGCCAAATAAAGGTAAAAATATATTTAAGTCTAGTACTGCTGCTGGCTAAAAATATAGATAGACAGGTGAGCACAAATCTGGAATCTGTGATTGCAAGCTCTTACTCCAAACCTACCCCTCTGACTTGGGGAAGCCAGTCAAATGCCCTTCATCAGTAACATTTACATTAAAATACTTCCACATCTCTGACAACTTGGGAGGAACTAAATTTGAGGAAAACTGCTCAAATCTGTTTAGCAGGAGATACAGAACTACTATAATAAATGCCACCTACTCTGTGACAGTGCTGTATTAGCACAGCTAATACGGCCTTTTGTGGAGGCCTTTTGGCTATTTTGGACCTCTTTGGTGGAGGGAGGGAGGGAAGGAGGCAGGGAGGGAGGCAAGGAAGAGAAAAGAAGGAAGGAGAGGGAGGGAGGAAGGAAGGAGGAGAGAGAGGGAGGGAGGAAGGAAGGAGGAGAGAGAGGGATGGAGGAAGGAAGGAAGGAAAGAGCGGAGGGAGGGAGGGAAGAAGGGAGGGAGAAAGGGAGGAAGGAAGGAAGGGAGGGAGGGAGGGAGAAGGGAGGAGAGGAAAGGAGGAGAGGGAAGGAGGGGAGGAAAGGAGGGGAGGAAAGGAGGAGGGAAGGCTCCCTCGCACCGCGCTCCCCGCGTTGCGCACCTGCTTTCCGGCGCCTCCTGCACAGGAGCGCCGCCATGCCGGCCGCTCGGCGCGCCCAACTCGGCCGCGCTCCTCGGCGCCCCGGCGGCAACTGCGCGAGGCGGCAGCCAAAGCCGGTTAATTTGGGCACGCTGACACCGGAGGCGGCGGTCAGAGAGGCTCCCAGCTGCTCCGCGGGGGTGGAGGAACAAGCTCTTGGCGTCGCAGCTAGGCTCGGGGTGGCCCTCGCCGGGAGGCCCCACGGCCGCCTCTGAGGGGCCCCTGTGCAGCAGCAGGCACCACCGACCGAGCCCCAAGTGGGGCCAAGTGGAGCCCCAAGTGGGGCCGTCCCTCCAGGGTACCTTGGGCCGGCAGCTCTCCTGGCCCAGCAGCGCGTCGGGACGTTCGCCGGGCAGCGCTCGGCGGGCAGCCGAGCACCTTCCCCTCCGCATGGATGCTGGTAGTTCATCGCCCTCCCTGCGCCACCAAGCCTCCCCACAGGCTTTCCAGGATTCACTAAAATACATACACTCCACATATACTCCACATATATTCCACAGGTCTTGAAAGCAGCCCCGAGAGTCGAAAGGAAACACAAAACGCGTCCCCAGGCACCCAGCGTTCCCATGCGGCTGCCCTCAGCACACACATTTGCCAGGGTTTTCTTAAGGCCTGTTGAAGCCTCTTCGTTACATTTGCACAAGCTGGGGGGGCTCCTTCGGCCTCCCCAGACTCACTTATCACCACTTGGCAGATGGAGCAGTGGCAGGAAAAGGAAACTGCCCATGAGGTAGGCACACAAAGCAGGCCAGCCAACCAGCGCGCGGAGACAGCAATGGAAACTGATGGTCAGGCAGAGCAGTATTTCCTGAAGGAACCTGATAAATGTTTAATAACGGCTTGCAAAGTCACAATAACGCACTTAGAAAGATCATGGATAGAAGTAGATGGGCAACCCCATGCTGGACTGAGTCCTGACTTTGTATCATCAACAGCAGCTTCGGGGTGAGGCTTCTTCCAGCTCCTTGTGTGCAACAAGATGCCCATGCAAGGGGTGATTTTCCTGCTAGAACAGAACTGAGCTGCACAACGCTTCTGGTCACAGTGCCTCCCACACATGTATCACCGACCCCAGGCTGCCCTCCGCCTGCCCAGTGCAGGCTCTCCTCTTCTCCCCTTTTCCTTGCATCCTCCAGGAGCATCTTCCTCAGCAACATGGCCCTCTCTGCTCTCCAACTAAGCTCTGTGAAAAACATCTTTCCCTAGCACTAGATAATTCCACTCCCCAGATCAGGGAAGACAAAAAGAGATAGGAAACCTCTTCCTACCTTTCCTCTTCGGAGTGGCCAAGGTGTTCAGCAAAAACCCTGAGCATTGCCCTTGAGCAGAAACGCCAAATCTCAGACCAAAGGCCACCTCTCTGCTGATGCCCAGGAAAGCAGCAGGGGCTCCCAGAGCCCCTTCAATGTTTCAGCCGTCTCCTGGTGTCGACTGCCAGCACTGCCATCCAGCTGGAAGCTGCACTGCCCTTTCAAACCGATAAGTATGACGAGCAGGTTATATACACACAAGCCCTGCAGGGCTGTGCACGTGCGGGCCAGGCAGGCTGCCCCCACGCGGGGTTACACAGCACCAAGATGCCAAAGGCTGGAAGCACCAAAGACTGTCTAGGACTTCTCCTGAACCAGGAAAGGACCTGAAAAAAAAAACCAAGGAAACAAAAAAAAAAAATCTCCTATTTATAGAGCAGCTGAACATCAAGAGTCAAATCTTCTCTACCTTCATCCTACGAATTTCATTGTAACTTTAAGAAAGCACGAACGTATCGATGACCCAGCACAGTTCACCTCCAGGCCTTTACCACTCACTGTCTTGTTATTAAAAAAACAAAGTGCCCACAAGCTTCTGCTTCTTACAAAAACAGCTGGTAAATGTATTTAATTTTAGCTGTAGTTATTTCTGACCGCAGGGCTGCATCTCCCCCCACAGAAAGCAGCAGCTGCCACAAGGCTGATCATGGGATTCGGGGTCCAGGGCTGCCTTTCAGGTTCAAGCAGCGCAGAGCTGGATCCTCAGCACTGCCTCATCCAAACTTTTCCACTGGGCACTTTCATCTCCTTATTAATCCCTGGCTTTGGAAGCTATTAGACAGCTTGGCTGTTCTTGGCTCGGTTATGGATGATTTGGTCAAGTAACTTTGTCATCCTCTTTGGTCCAAGGAGCAGGCAGAGGAGAAATCCACAGTGGCTACAGAGCTAGAGCCGCATGGGAAGCTCCCACATGCTCCCAGTTTTGTTGCTCTGATTTCAGAGGTTTCCTTGGTGGTCATGGGGAGAAGGGCAAGACCAACTGTACTACTTCAGGTAGTGCCCTACCTGCTCCCAGCTCCTACCCTAAGGATTCAGAAAATCCCTTGGGAAATGGAAGGTCCCGGGGAAAGTCCATTCCTACCTCCTGCAGACGACGGACCCAACCCTCATCCTCTTCCACGTCAGAAGAAGTGGCTACACCGGACGGTTTCTCCTGGTGAAGCATTCACACGCTGCACAGAAGACTGGACATCTAGGGGGCCTCTGCACGGGCACGTGGGCACCTACCCCACCAGACGTCCGGCAGCAGGTCCCTGGAGGGGAAGGGGCCTGCAGCTCCCCGCTGTGCACCCGCTTCTCTCTCTGCCCGCCCAGCACCCACCTACACTCGCTCACACCCCCCGACACCCACAGCTCCTTCCAAAACATCAAGTCTTCAAAAACTTTATAGAAATGCCAAAGAGTAAGTTTTACAAAGATCTGGCATTTTCCAATAAAAGCTGATACTTTACGAAAGGCTCTGAGATGTTCTGGTAGTGGCTGCAGGAGAAAGGCAAAGCTCCTGTTAATTATAAAAGAGAATTAATAAACCCAGGCAGATCCGAGGCGAACGGACTCCATCAAATCCACATAGAGGCGTCATTATCAAAAGATTGCATTCAAAACAGAACAAGATTAATACAGAAAATTATTTGTATGCCTCAATAGGTAGACAAGGCACTCATAACAGTCAGACTCTGTCACCTGAAGAAATGGGAAGACCTTAAAGATAAAGCTAACTTGCAGGAAAGGGCTGTAATAATCCTTTTGTTTCAATCAAAGACAAGGTTATGCTGACTTGGCTGGACATGTTAAGCTTATAAAGATTAGTGGTCTGTCTAGTGACTGACAGAGTAAAAGATCTCCCTTTATTTTTGTCACAGGGTGTGTGTGTAAATCAAAATATATCATGGCATGTGACATGAGCCGGTCAGAAACTTTTAATAAAAACTGGGGGGTTGTTTCATTTGGGACAGCGAAATGTTATTTCCAGTGCTTTTCCCATGAGAATTCTTATTTTTCTGTGGGTCCTTGTTCTTCTTTTGTTTTGGTTAAAGAAAAAGCCTTTGCATTTTTCATGGGTGAAATCTGAAGATGTGCTGAGACAAGCAGCCCCAAGCAAGTACCAGCCTTACCTAAAAGAGGAAGGGTGTGTTAAAGCCGAATGAGGAAGAGGGAGGAAAGAGTTTGGAAAAGAAGAGCAATAAAGAGACCACAGGAACCCGAAGCAGCTCTCGAGAGCATTAACGCTGACAACAAAACACTGCAGCAGAAATAAGCGAGGAAATAGGGAATCACGGAGGCACCGGAGTCGCCCCTCTGCCACTCCACCCCGCTTTGTCCCGGCACAAGGGTGTGCAGAAACCGCACGCTGGCACAGAATATTTCAGAATATTTCAGAATATTTATTTAAGGTTGGAAGGGACCTCTACAGATCATCTAGTCCAACCTTCCTGCTCAAGCAGGCACACCTAGAGCATGTGGCACAGGGTGGCATCCAGGCGGGTTTTGAAGACCTCCAGAGAAGGAGACTCCACAGCCTCCC